GGCGGGAAGGTTTCTGCTGGTGCAACCACAAGTCGATTTAGCATGGGACAGGCATGCTGCTACAGAGAGTGACAATATGCTTGGCCCCTTCTGAATCAGTGCTGAATTAGTCACTCGCCCCTGGTTCTCGCCTCTACAACATATACCTAACTATCATTATCGGTCGAAGTTGGGCAGCCTCGATCGTTTGGTCAACAGCGCCCTTCTCCTACCTTGTCTCCGCTATAAGGTACATGTTCATGCATAAGCCCGAAACTTTCCATGCATTGGCGCCGGCCTGGTAGGAGAGGGACAGCGACTAGTGACTGGGTGAACGCTTGCTTGATAGACCCACCTTCTGTATCCCTTGCAGACCATACCAGTAGGAAGCCCACTGTCTATACCTTATTTTCTGGGAGGGTGGTTTATTTGGGAGGGGTCTACATTGTCAGAAGTCATACTTGTCAGGAGGCAAGCCCCCACACACACACACACGGACGGACGACTTTGACCTAGATAAGAAGTTCCCGAAGGCTTGGCCACGTGTTGGCTTGCATCAATATTCAAAGCAAGAAGCCAAAGCCCATGGTTCCTGAGTCCTTATTCGACCCAGGCGTGGCGCTCGCGGACAGCAGGAGACGATTGGTTTTGTCACGTGGTTTCCTGCCGACACCCCCAAACCTTGAACATACCCAAAATGCTAAGCCGCTAAGCCGACAAACCTCCAGAAGGCAGGAGAGATGCTTGACCGTCTCTTCACAAAGATGCAAGCATGCTGGAAATCGGACAACAGATCGTCCATTAGTAGCTCCCAGGCTTGTTTGCTGCCATGGTTTATGATACTAGTCGTTGTCCAGGGGCACCTTTATACTTCTGGTTTGCTGTGTCTGATTTTCTTGTTCGGGGCCACATGATAAAAACAAAAGCTGCAAACGTTGGCCCCAGCCAGGATGCTGGCATGCGCCTCAGACAGGCTTTGCCAAAGCTGTCATCTGGTAAGCCTTGTTTGCCTGAATCTACGCCGGGTCTCAAGTCGGCACGTGTACCCTTATAGTACCCTCATAGCACATGATACCATACATGATCATCTAATCTAGGTTCCCTGAAGTTGCTAAAGCTTCAAGCCCTTCGCAGCCGCCACCGGTTTATGCCCAAAGGACTAGATAAAGCCCATAATCAAGTGTGATTAGAGAGAACCGTCATTGTGATATACTAGAAGTCCATCAAAAATCGAACATTGGTCCGTCCGTACAACTTGCTGTCGTTGCATCCGACGACCTAGCGTTTGAGGACCCAGAAGCTGCATCCGAATCCATCCACTGGCTCTCCACCCCCACCCGGCCAAGCCCCTTGATTGCTGAGGCTCCAAAGGCTCCAAGTCTTCCCGAGGGATGGGTCGGACGCCGAGACTTGTAGGGTTTTGGACCGTGAAGCTTGGGGGTTAAGAGCTTGGGGCAGCTTTGGGTATGGAACTCGGGGAAGTTTAGTGCAAATCGCATACGAAACCGGAGCCATCATCCTGCAGACACGCGGCATTGGTCTATGTATGTAGAGACCACAGACAAGTGAGCCCGCTCAGGAACTGTCGGCGAAGTTTTGTGGTGTTGTTATGCATGTCCAAAGGCCAGCAGTATCCTGAATCTTTAGAGATTCAGCTCGAGTTTGCCATCTTTCCCGGGCACTACAGCTTGCTCTGGTGGTTCGGTGGAGACCCCCGATCTAGGTGAGCCATACTGACTAGTTTAGGTGCGTTTTGCCTGCAAGTCTGCCTTCCGGAAGGTCAGAGTGCCTCGATGCCGAACATGGCGCGGCTCTTATTTGTTGCAGTGTGTTGTGTCAGAATCTTGTCCGCAATGACCGCAAGCTGCTAAACTCACTTCCGGTGGTCCTGCGCGTCTTTTTCATCGTGCACTGCTGGGGTAAAATATCGACTGATGTTTTGGTTAAGGCTTGTCGAAGCAGCAACACTTGTCAGCATGACAAGATGCCCGTGCTTACTATCCATGTAGCTGGGTCCTCCACGCGCAAGAGACGAGAGCAAGTGGCCTCAGGGGCCAGGGACACAGAGTGAATCCGACAGGTTCGGAGGTACCCCAAACCCTAAACCCCTAAACCCTAAACCCTATATACCCCAAACCCTCAACTCTTCTGGAAGTTCGGGCCCTTTGCGACAGGAAGACTTAGGAGGTCCGCTTAAGCCTGGTACCTGTAACACCCAAACTTTCCTAAAAGCCATTATAGCTTCCCGTCTCTGGGCCCTAAGTCCTAAAAGATCCTAAGAGCACTGCAAGACCTCGTCTCTCAGTTCCTGGGTCATGTTCCCAGTTGTAGTCCACAGCAACAGCGAGGCCAAGACTTGGCACCCTGGATCCGCTTGGGCCTCGTCGGCCAAAGGTCTAAAATTTAAAGGCTGCAAGGTGCGAAGGCTCTGGCTGGATACGGGTTTAGGGTTTAGGGTTTAGGGTTTTCCGGTGGCCTCGCATGAATGCTCTCATGATGCTCATGGCTGAGTTGGTGAAGATTTGAAGCGGCCCTGGTTGGCCCGAAACTCTAAGTCACTGTGCTCTGATAGACCCGGCCCCCCATGAAGCCCTGCGACCAAGAACCGTCTTGAGCCTCTCCGCAACGCCGGACTCCGAGAGGGCTGGAAGCGATTGCTTGCTCCGGGAACTTCTTCAGCCCTAATGAAACGGAGACCCACCCAAATCTAAGTCTAGGGTCCGAAATCAAGAGGATATGCGGGTACTTCAAAAACTAGAACGGCTGAGAGATGCTGAGAGCAGGGCAGGAGGAACATGCAGGGCGATGTCGATTTCTATTCTTGATGATTTTCAGATGGAGCCGCTTGTCTTATGTGGAAGCCTCTAACCAGATGAGACATAAAGCCAAAACTGAGCAGGTGATCACCGTCGATTTCAAGACTCAGCCCCTAAGCCAGTTTTTAAAGGGTCAGGTCAATGCATCCCCGTCTCACGCAATGCCGGCCCAAAATGTGGCGCACGCCCTTCCACCGTGCTATCATGTTTTTGTTTCTCAGCTTGCCTCGACCCGAGCACTTCTCGACCCCGAGAGATCTCGAGACACGATCTAAAGAATTGAGCATCCTCCGCCCATGCAATCAAGACTTCGACGATCTTGTCACGCTCGAAGTTTGCAAGGTCCGAAGCTCCCGGACGAGAACCTCACCCCCTGAAAGCCCTGAGCCCCAAGACCCTTGAAGCCCCCGAAGCCCCGAAGCTCACGAGTCCTTGGAGGCTCCCCAGCCAGACACTGGATCACCACAGTCGCCTGGCTCTGTCTGAACCCTGGCATGGCGTCGCTAGCAAGCAGGGTTTCCTTACCGAAGTTGAAGACTCGAAGCATACAACTCAAGGAATTCAATGTGGTCAGGTCGACATTCATCTTATATAAGCCTGAGTTAGGGGTTGTTTCAGACAGGAGTTTCTGACTCGGAAGTGGGGCGGGCCCAGTGTTGACCTTGTCAGGGCTTGAACCGAAATGTTTGGTTGCAGCAATGTTCAGCGCCTCCCATAAACAAACCCTCCGCTCCCTGTCGCCTATAAACCCTATAAGCCCTATAAGCCCTCGCCCTAATGCCCTGCGCGCGAGGCCGGAAGTTCTGCACGGCCCAAGCGGAAATCTCCGAAGTCGCCCAAGTCGCAGAAACTCTTAGAGTCGCCCAAGGCTCGACCGTCATACTTTGTCGTAACCTGTTTAGGGGTTTAGGGTTTTGCTGTTGAGGTGTGTCCGCTGGCACACAATCCAAGCCCATGCTGAAAAAGGGTTTGTAACCATAGGAATACCGGAATACTTATGTTGACACAGACAGCAGCAGTAGCAATCATATAGCATTATCATACCATGATCTCCGAGTTGTATGAAGCTTCAGTGGAAAGAAAATTCATAAACAAACGTGATTCGCAATGATAACGGTACTGACCGTAGTAGCACCAGGAATGTGTCCTCATGGTTATTTGTTTTTTGTGGCTGTTGTGTCTTCTCGTTGTTGTGTCAACAAACTGCACATTATTTGCTTCCGTGGCCGTTGGTGGTCGGTAGCAGTGTTGAGCCGTTTAGTAGTATCCTTCGAATCATGTGGCACTCTTCGTCCTAGTTCAGTCACCTTACTTGCCTGCCTGGATCGAGCTGTTGCTCACGGCGAGTTCATGTGGCCGTCCGAATCCCATATGTGCATGTGAAAAGCCTGTGGGTAAGAATGATTTCACAACTCATGAGGACCGTGACAGAAGATTGCTGATGGCACTAAATGTTGCATGCTCCTGGACACTTCACCCAAAGGGTAGCCCCTGGGTTGTTTCAGACGCCTGAAGACCTCCGACCTACTAGCCTTGCTTGCGGGTCTGCAGATCTCCGTCCCGGCATGCCTTGCCTGTCCCCCCCTGTTCCGCAAAATCTTATCCCGCAGAACCCATGAGCATCACAGGTTTTGCCCCGGCTTCCCTCTGCCGCAAAGCCTTTAAGCCACAAGCTCGAATAGCCTAAACACAAGCCGTAGTGCCATGGATATTTCGGATGCCCAAGCTACACTGGGCCTGCAGCGTGGAGCTTCGCAGCGGGAAATCCGCCCTTCAACCTTGATTGTTTCGTTCTTATGTTTTGTTCTACCGTAGATCCTGGTAATGTTATAGGGGAGTGGGAGACCTGGTTCTCACTGGGCTCTTGCAGGCTCCTCAAGTCAAGCCTCAGAGAAGGAATGAGATAGAACCAGCTTCCTTCGTGCGCTTGTGTTTACATCTTGATTTTCCTGCTCTCTGAAAGCTTGGAAGGGACGGCTGGACAGCCCTCGATGCCGGCGAGAGAGCGAGAGAGAGAGAGAGAGCGAGACAGACAGGCACGCTGCACATGTCTTTTCGTTCGGCCGTTTCTGAGTAATATAGGGGTAGGAGTCTCACTGAGTACGTTGCTGACACAGTTGCAGTCTTCATAGGCCCCATAGGCCCTAGGACATGATAGGGGGGTACCATGCCATGCTGTACCCCAAAACCTCCATCGATCCCGAGGCGCTGCCTTCCTTCGCTTGGCCAAGCTGTGGCATCCGGACAAGCAGCGCGACCCGGCTCCTTGGGCTGCTAAGTGATCGCTGGCGAAGTACAGCAAGGCGCTGCAACAGCGATTTCGGGGGTTGAGGCCACGAACATGGTGCGTCTGCGGACTTTAAGACTTTCAGAATGGATTGGAATCTCAGGTCGTAGGGAAGTCTAAACTCCGCTACCCAAGCACGAAGCCCCAAGCAAACCGACCACCAGAAGCCCTAGCAAACCCTACACCTGATGCACTTCGTGAAAGCATCTCTTTCATGCTTGTAGGTTCTCGATTGAGTCTGCCATGCCGAGAGAATCTCAGGACAAGACGGCGGAAAGCACCAGGCGTTTTCAGAAGCTTCAGGCGCAGCTGCTGTTTCCAAGGTCCCAGAGGGCTTTCAGAGTTTAAGTTTCTGAGTTCTTGCGACAGGTTATATGAGATATATGAGGTTATAATATATGTGGTTAGAGCCCCAGCCTGCGAGGCTCAAACCCTGAAGAACCCTACGACCTGCCGGTAATGTTACGACGCTCCTTCCGGGATGAGCAAACGCAATGTTTAACCATAACGAGGAAACTAATCCGCAGCAGTTCTGAAGAGCATCTCCGAGATGGCGGTCCACAACACCAAGGCAACGAGAACACAGAGAAGACCTTTGGTGGACCATGCCCAAAGCAGCCTGATGAAGCCCCAAACCACGGAAGACGGCGTGCCAGTCAGAATCAGATGTTGTGTGTTGTGTGTTTCGTGTTTGTGTGCGTGTTTGCAGCGGAACTTCAACACAAGTTCTCCTAGCTGACCGATATGGACTCTTCAGGGGTCGTCATCAAGCCCAGGTCTGCTAAAGTCACACGATGTCATGCTTGCTGTCGCCCTTGACGAATCATCTAACGTGCAAGACTCCTAACCTGGTCCCTGTGTCGCAGGTAGCTTACGAGCGCCTTGTGGGCAAGGGTGAGAAAGACGTGGTCATCAGCGCCTTTTTGGAACTTTCATGCACATCTCTTTAACTAGGCCTTACATTGTCGCACTGCAGCTTTGTTTTCCGAAGACTGGGGAGATGCCACGATGACGCAAGCGTTTCCCGCTGTTTTCGGTAACGACTACTCTCACAGTCCAGGATTTACCTATAGGCTCCATTGCAGTTCCTTCTTGGGGTTACCTTATAGAATCCTTAGTATATAATAAGCCAAAAAAGAACTACAATGGAGACTATAGGTAGGGCTCATTTGCCAGAGCAGGCTAGAAACTGCATGCTGCATTTTGTTGGCGGGCTCAGTTTGGTGGACTGCGCCGACCGCTCTTTTGATTTTAAATATGGCACAAAACAATCAGAACATATGGCACACCTAGACCCCAGACTATAGTATGTGTAGAACTACCTAGTTTGAAAATCCTTTGGCGGCAGGAAGCCTGCAGCCATCCTTGTGAATCCTGATATGTCAAGTATCCCGGAAGGCCTCGAAAACACTTAGCTTTCAGACTCAACTTGTCTTGTCTCTGGAGGTACGCCAGCGGGCTGGGCGGCCGCCTGCCGTCCGCGGCCGCCCCGGAAGAGGCAGGGATCAAGTGTTGTTTTCGAGCTCTGGGGCTCGGAGAACAAGAACACGGACAAAGAGCATCAATCATGGTGGCAGCGGTCGCATGACAGTAAGCAGTGCTAGTGAGGAGAACCGGCAAAGACTGAGCTCAGCTATGTTTGAAGGTCTCGGGCTTCGGTCTTAAAGCGATAGCTGAACCCACTGCAGATTCTCTCGAGGCACGACTCCCACTCTTTTACTATCCTGCTTATCACTGATCGCAGCAGTTTTGAAACATGGTGAACATGAACATGAGGAAAAGGAAAAGGATGGGTTTGTAGATGGTGCTCGTGATTTGAAAAAGCTGGTGATGATTGCGTCATCATGAGTTGACGTGCATATCATTCTTGTTGTTACCACTACTCTTCGTGGTTTGTTCAATTGCATTATTGTTTCATTGTTATTAATGTTTTCATTTTACCATGATTCGCTTATCATTATCATGATTGTTATTATCAGTACTGCTTTGTATTACCATTGTGCTGTACTGGTTTGGTATTGTATTGCAACATATTGTAATTACTGTATGGGCATTGTACAGTATTTATTGTATTTCGCTTGTACTGGTGTGGTATTGTGTTGCATTAGATCAGTTTGTACTATGTTACGCTATGTTGTATGTTGTTTTACATTATTACGCTGATGGTGATGATGGCTAATTTCTTTTGATGTAAACGAATATTGTTCTTATCGCTATTACTATAAGTAGTAGTGGTGGTAGTTGTCAGTACTACTGCAGCAGCCGTAGTACTAGCTGTGGCAGCAGTAGTAGCAGTAGACGCAGCAGCAGCAGTAGTAGCAGCGGCAGCAGCAGTAGCAGCAGCAGTAGTCGTAGCAATAGTAGTAGTAGTAGTAGTAGTAGTAGTAGTAGTAGCAGCAGCAGCAGCAGTAGTAGTTGTTGTTGTTGTCGTTGTTATCGTTGTTGTTGTTGTCGTTGTTGTTGTTGGTGGTGGTGGTGGCGGTGGTTGATTCATTGACGACGATGATGATGATTATCGAAGCTTACTGAAGCTAGCCTCCTTCAGGCGATTTGTGCCCGAGCAGCTGCAGGTCGGACCTGTTTCCATGGCCTTCTGGGGCTGAGGATTTGGTGTGGGTACACAACCCAAACCTCCATTCAAGGTTTGTGTGTGATTGAAGCATGTGTAGTAGGCTCACGGAGAGGCATGAGAAGGTTGGGTGGATGGTTTTGTGCCTCATCGTTTGGCAATCAAGTGCATCAAAGGACGGCTAGTGCATGGATGCGTTGCTTGCATCAGCCTCGGTGCTTCCGGGTTTGGCAGTTCTTCTTGGTTTAGTTTTGTAAGTGTCTGAGGAAGGTTTACTTAAACAGCAATGAGGCTAGGGTCTTGTGGTAGCCAGGCGGGGGCCTTGAATCTGTGGGACACTAGACGTGCCGCACGGCAGATCTTCCTTCGGCTGCATGTGCGCTCGATGCCTCATGATCATGCAGCTGTGCCCAGCCGGATACACTTGAGAGCCCCGAGTACCCCATGCGGTTTATTACGCTTTCTGTCGCGAAACGGAGCGACTGTCGCAAAGCAGGAGCTATCTTCAACCCAGCTGCGTGTGCTGCTGGCTTCCGAGGGTGACCCGGGCGGCAGCATGCGCGATTTCCAGCAGACCGTGTTTTGTTACAGCTGCGATATCAAGCCTCGAAGACGCAGTTTGTCTGCCAGAGAGAAATGTGCTGTTTGTCAGTCAGCCGTCCGGGTGGCTGTGACGAGTAGTCCAGTGCCTATCCCAAGGTTAATAACTCTCCTTCTGCTGGCTGGGAATGCCGCCAACATGCTTGAGGGAAGACAATACCCGTTTTTCTCCCGATCTCATTGCTGCCGTATACGACGATGATGCCGATGATGATGGCAGCAATGCTGGTGTCAAACCGTCCAAGCCGAAAAGAGCCACTGCGGGAGCAGCAAGGTGTTTTCCTGCTACACGCTCGCACCAAAGCTGAGCTGCGCCACTTGCCTTGCATAGTACGGTTTGACTAAGTACTGCTGCGAGGCAGTCTTGTGGGTTCATGTTTCCGTGTCTTTCATTGTGGGAACAAGAAACGGGACATGGGGATCTGCGTGTCGGAGTCTTCGCAGCCAGGTTTGGTGCAGTTTGTTCCGCCGTATCGCACAGACACGAGGTTTTTCAAGCAGAGCATGGCGAGGGGGTATCGGAACAAGTTAAGTGAAACTAGCTGGTTTTTCACTTGCAAAAAAGGCTCCAACTTCTGCCATCTCTTGATCCCAGAAGTCGGCTGATGCCGTGCCTCGCACCCGGAGGTCCTGAGACTGGAAACCCTCAATCTCAGGACCTCAAGGACTTCGGCAGTATGCCCAGGCTGTTGAATGGTCACAGCCAAGCCCTCCGCCCAATCCCCGAAACCTGTATATCAAGGTTTGCGTGCGTTTAGTTCAAGGGTTGGTTCTAAGAATGTTGTGTAGGAGTTATGCTCTATCTTGCAAACCTTATGGATTGACCTGAGACACACCCGGTTCACGGCATCAGCAAGAATCGCTGAGGAATTGCTGTGGTGGGCCTGCTGCTGCCACGTGAACTGAGACGGCTGCTGAAGGCTTCGCCAGGGCCGCTAGGGAGGGCATCTAGGATCTGCACGGATTTGTAACTATAGGCCTGGTGTATGTGGTGAGTTTTAAACACAGAAGCAGAGAGTTTGAAGCCCTCGATGCACTCCTCTCCGGAACCCCCAAACACGACACACCTCCAGTGCCCCTACCTGCCCGACTCGTGTTCCCTGTAGTCTTTGCTAGACCCCAACTGCAAAGCCTCGGGCCCCGAATCGTGCGCTTCGTGAATACGAAGGGTTCGACAGCGAGAGGCCTTTTGGGCATGCTGTTTGCCATTTTCGCACATACGCACACGCATACATACATACATACATACATACATACATACATACATACATACATACATACATACATACATACAAACATACAAACATATATACATGCACCACTACATACATACATTCATATGATTTACTTACTTTTCGACAGATACATATGTATATATATATATATGTCAGAATATATATGTATATATATATATATAGATACATATTTATTTGTTTATGTATACATACTTGCTTACGTTGATCGGGGTGCCGAAAACCTTCAGACCTCAGCCCTAAAACCCGAAATGCCAAAACCCTGCACCCGAGACCTTGAGTAATGTAGGGACCTTAATAATTAGAATAGGGTTTCCCTGGTTATAGTATAAAACCTATTCTAATTATTAAGGCCCCTAGATTACCGAAATCCTCTAAATGCCGGCCCCTTTCCGCCTGGGCCTGGGCAGGGCAAGAACCTGGCTGCCGGCGTTGACCTCACGGCCATCGCAAGGCAGACCCCAGGCCTGCGGCACTGAGTGGGCATATTGTCTAAGTAGCAATACTCGCCTTCGGGTTGCCATTGCTTAATCCAAAAATCAGGCAGAATTTAACCAAAACATCCTATTCTCGTCATTGTGCCCTCTATACGATTAATAAGGGTTGAAAACCTAAAAGGCTGAAAACCGAAAACTTGATCACTCTGATCCACGGTCGAGCCCCTGGCACCTATAGTCGCCATAGAAAGCTCGGAGATGGGGTGGAAACTTGGTTGTTTGATTTGGCTACAGATGATGAGTGGAGTCACATGCTTCCGATAGTGATTGTAAAGATCCATACGCTTGCGGCCTTGTTGGAGCGGCGAACCCCTAAAGACTCCCTAAGCCCCTGAACCCTAAAACCCAAAACCTAATCCCCAAGGTTAGCGCACCCCTCCTCAACCCCAAACTCTCACAGAAGTCCCATCACGCCAAGAAATCACTTCAACCTCTAAATCCTGAACCCCGAAACCCAAATCTCTAAAACCTAAGCCACAGAGCCCTCATCAAGCTCTTAGGCTTGTAGGACGCATTCAAAACCCGAAACACCAAAACCCTCCGCCCCGGGCATTGAGCCCCTAGAATTTGTGTAGTAGTAGTAGTAGTAGTAGTAGTAGTAGTAGTAATTCGTTACATTAGTCTTAACACTAGAATTATTATTATTCGTCTTATTATTGGCATTATTATTGGTATTGTTATCAATATTACTACTAGTATTCATATAGGTCGTGCTACTATTATTATCATTATGATTATTAGTATGAACAGTATTATTGCTCGTGTTTGCATGGTTGGTAGTGCAAACCCCTTAGAAGGTCTCCGGACTCCCTGTTAACATCCTACCGCCGGGCCTGCCAGGCATGTCCGGCGCAGACCTTGCAAACTTGCTGATGCTTGGCCGAGTTTTAGCTGGGGTTAGGGTTTAGGGTTAAGGGTTTATGGGTTTAGGGTTGCAGTGAAGCCCAAAAGCTGGAAACCCAATAGCCTCAATCCTAAAGAGGCATGTGTAGGGATCCCAGCACGGATTGTCCTTAATCAGTTTTCCAACTTTTTGGGGTTTGCTATAGGGCTTTTTTGGGCCAAAGGATTCTAGTTCCCCAAAGAAAAGGGTCCAAGCACCAATATGGTAGCTACTTCGTAGATATTTGGGTTTCACAGGTAGAGGCTATACTATTGCTTGGACATACACTATTCTACTGCAGGTTTGGAAGTCGGCATCATCCTGCACCTGTTTCCGACGAGAAAGTTCCGTTAAGGGGTCACTCGATTTTCTTTGGTAACCAAAAGGCTTTTGCTTGGCTGAAGCCTTGGGAAGGTCAGCCGTCAATCATAAAGTTGACACGTGGCTTTTCAGGGCTTCGGCAGCCTATAGTCGTTCTAAGGTTTTTCATTTCTTTCTTGAATGCCGCGATAGTCGCGCGTTTTTTGACATAGGGGTTTGGGTTTTAGTGTCGGGGCTTCAGGGTTTAGGCCATATGGTTCAGAGTCAAGCTGCAGGGTTCCAGAGTTTCACCCCAAACAGCGAAACCCTAAACCCCTAAACCCTAGACTGACCCTAAACCCTAAAACCCTAAAACCCCAAACCCCTAAACCCTGGACCCTAAACACTAAACCCTAAAGCCCTAAACCCTAAACCCAACGTTATCGTTTCAACCCCCTCAGCCCTAGACCTTAATCCTCAGCTCTCGCGGCCATCCCATCGAAGGTCCTGCTTGGAGGATCATGGGACTTAGTAACGGTCTAGGGTTTAGGGTTTAGGGTTTAGGGTTTTAGGGTTTAGGGTTTAGGGTTTAGGGCTGTACTTATAATTACTTCTAACCCCAATTAAGGTACTTATGACCCTACTTGCTAAGTCCCATGATCCTCCAAGTGTGGCCCGCCCCAGAGGGCTTTGTCACCTTTTCGGGTTGTGGGCTCGGTGCTTTATATAGGGATTGTAGGGTTTAGGGTTTTGGTGTCTGGTTTTCGAAGATTCGGAGTTTTGGGTTTCTTTGCAGTTCCGATGGCCAACATTCTTGTCGAATTTCGGGCTCAAAACTATAGGATTCAATATCTCTTCAGGTACACGTGTAGTTACCGTACTACTAAGTCCCCTGCTCTTTTAAGTATGGTCTTGCCGGCTTACACGATCTAACTTGGACAGGGGCCCCTGTACATTAACCGGAAAACCTAATAATCGAACTAGCGGTCGGAATAATTATACAGTCAGTAGTAATATACCCTTTTTGTACCCTACAAGTAATCTACACCATGCCCCCCCTCAAACCCTTCATTGTATGTATTGCTATGACCATGAACATGATGAACGTCGCAACATTATCATCATCTCCACTCTCCCTGTCTCCTTTAAGGAAGCTTGGTGACCAGTCTTAATTTGTGGGTGCTGTCCATGTTGCCAAAAAATACCCGGGTACCCAGTCTAAGGCTACCTGGTCCTCCAAAGCCTAGGGCTTAGGGCTTTTGGGGTGGGCTACGACTTCCTACAGCGCCTCAGGCTCACGCAATGTGCAAGCCTACAAAACTTTGGACACGACTAAGGAACGAGGGCGCGATCGTCGCTGCCCGCCAGAACAAGGCCCGCAGTGGATGCTTTACAGGGCTTGATCATGAATCACGACCCCACTGTCATTCGGGTGCCAGTTTTCAGATGAATAGATAGTGTCGCTAACTTTCGCATACCTTCCCGGACCTTTGCAAAGCTCAAAACTCAGGTTTGCTCCACATCCGTTCTGACCGCATCGGGCTGAAGCTCAAAGCCAAAGCTCTGAACCCTCAGCCCTGAACCCTAAACCTTATCAACCCACAACCCTCAATGCTTGAAATCGCTCCCTCAAACCTTGAATGTCCCTGCCCAATTCAAGGGTTTTGGTGTAGGTTATGTTGCAGGATAGTGCAACTTTATTGGGACTGCAAATGAGGAGTTCTTTTTGCGGACCTCTACACCAAAGCCTGAGACGCCTGAGAGATTAACACATCCTGAGTTGTTGTGCTCTCAGATGTCAAGCACCTCACTCTGACCGAGGGCTTGGGGTTTAGGGTTCGGGTTTCGGGAATTCCTATACTTTTCCTGGAGTTTCTTTTCAGCTAGTTGGCCGTCAGATAGTGAATGGGAGAACTTTGCACATTTTAGCCTTAGATGACTGGTCATTTGGGAAAGTTAGATCTTTTTTGGGCCCCGTTGTTGAAGGAGAGAGGGCCGGTTCAGCAAATGGGCTATGAGGACTACTTCAGCGCTTTTAGGGTTTCGGGCCATGAGATAGACCAAACCCCTAAACCCTAAACCCTAAATATCCTGACCGTCAACTCCAAATCGTGAAGTCTCAGAATCCCAGAGCCACCCTGGGCCCTAAATCATCCCAAACCAGCCTTTTCACCTAGAGCCCTACAAGACCTAAACCCTAAACCCAAAACCTTTTGGAGACCTGTGTAAATCCTCAAATGCTAAACTCTAATCCAAGCAGCACTGCCTCATCTGAGGAAAGGAGCTCTATCTCTGAAAAACGACATCCTGAGTTCTCATCTGCTTAACGGTGCCATAGGGTTCGAAAATCGCTAGGGTTCCCTTGAGGCATCTTTGAGTTGTTGGGGCTAGTTTGGGGTTTAACAGGATTGTTGATTTGAAACCAGTATACGAACGCTTGAGTACTCCCGGAGCCCTAGACCCTAGACTATTACTGACTTGCCCTTTCCCTACTGGCCAGGAGTTGGATGGAGCCCGCTTGTGCTAGACATGCATCATGCGTTGCAATGTCTCGTATGCTTCAGCAGATGTTCTCTGCATCGACTGTTTTCCGGGAACCGCCAAACCTTGTCACGCGCAAAGCCTGATATGCCAAACCCTCAATCCTAAACCCCAAGCCTTCAACCTTCAACCCCAAACCCTCAACCCTCAACCCCAAACTCTCAACCCTAAACACCAAGCCCTCAACCCTAAACTCTAAGCCCGAAGCGAAAGGGGACTGCAGCACCTAAACCCCAAAACGACACCCTAAACGGATCATTGGGTACCAGACTGGGGGCTCAGGGGCTGGTGTCTTTACCCCGGGCAATCATAAAGTGAAAATGTTACTAGGGCTTGGGGTTTTCTCAGGGCATTATAAGCCAAAAACCTTGAGTGCCAAAGCAGGCTGAGATCGACTCCGACGACATCTTCAACGCATTGGAGCGAATTTCTATTGGACACTCTTC